CATTTACACCTCCGTCAATCGGTTCTCTTGCTCTCTCTCTTTTTTTTTTTCTGTTTTCTATACTATTTACAGTCTCGGTCTCTTTCTGTCTGTGTCTTGGCTTCCTCAGACAATTTAATTAAAAGGAAAAAGAAAAATCCCTCCCAGTAGAAGGCTGTGTTTAATATTTTGCCTTGTGCTGGAGTATTCAGCATCGCCTTGGGGTACCCATAGGCTTTGCAAAGTTTTGGGAGGAGCTGTCTATGATGCAAGGACCCGGTTTCCCCAGGAAAAATCCATTTCCACCATCCCCACTGCACCAAGCTTCCTAGGGTAAGGCCCACACGTGTCCCCAGCATGTGGGACATTGGGCACAAGCCTTACTCAGCCCCTACGCACACGGACGGCGGTGCTGGGAGCCCAAAAAGCTGCAAATCACCGGCTTCTTTCCTGGCCCTCAGTGGGGGCAAATGGGCTTTGCTGGAAGATGTGGGCTGTGCACAACACTTGTTGTGGGCTGGACGGTCAATCTCTAGTGACAGGCAGCTCCCAGCCCAAAATGTCAGCGCTCACACATGAGTGGGCAGCATGAGTCCCATCGGGCAGCACCAGCACCAGCTGAGTTTCAAACGCTGCGCCCACGTTTGGGCCATACCACCCTCCCTGTCCCTCTTGGCTGATTGTCACCATAGCAACAGATAACGGTCCAGCGCAGCTAGATCCTGTGGTACCCTGTGCCACTGGGCACAGCCCGGTACAGCGTTAATCCTGCTGCCAAACTGCTCTTTGCAAAAACTGTGGGTTTTTTGCCACAATCCTGTCTGGTGCTGTGGGCCGCCTGCAGTTTGATTTCCCTCCCATCCAGCCCCGGGGCCAGGATCCCTGAGGAGATGCAGGGGGAGAGGAGCCCAAGGATGGGACGCTTCCCTGCCTTTTCCTCCGGGAGCGCTTAATCCTAGCGGATTAGCCAGCAGCCGTGTGGCGCTTCATCTTTGCAAAGCCCTGCACGAGTGCTAAGCATTATTATTACTATTATGATTAATTATTATTAAGCAGATTCAGTCCCTGCCATGCTCTGTTGCCAACCTCGCTGCGAGCGATTTCCAAGCCTCAAAGGAGCCGAACAAATGCATGGTGGCTCAGGAGTTTCTTCCCGTTCGCAAACACACGTGGTTTTATAATTTGGGCTGGAAACGACACGGTGACAGACCAGGGCTGGCTGGGATGCAGGAGGATCAGCAGCTCTGCTTTCATCCCAAATCAATGGCATCCAAGCATCCAGATCCCTTTGGACTGGCTGCTTGAACTCCTGCTTTTGCTGCTCCAGTCAATTGCACCTCCCTGGGTAAGAAGGAAACCTTTAATTTTTAGGGGAACCTTAATTTTTTTAGAGGAACCTTGATTTTTTTAGGGGAATCCATGTGACTCAGTTTACCCCCATGCTATGGAGTGGGCAGGAGAGCTCCCACAGTGCAGATGCTTCTCACCCTCCTTGCTGGATTGGAGATGCTCCAGGGACCTCATCCCAACGTGATTAAACAACCGTTAGACCTTCTCATTTTGAAAAAGGGATTTACAAATGCCCAAACCTCCATTTAAATGCAAATGTGGTGATTTTAGCCCAGAACCATGGAAATGAGGAGCATTAGAGAAGCAGTGTCATCAACCTCCTCCACTTGATGCCGTCTCAAGAATACTGTGATCTCCCATCCAGTGGCTGGGAGAGGACCAGTGGGCTTGGATGTCCTGCATCCCAAATCCACCCCTTTGGGTAGCATCAGGAATTTTAGGCAGCTCCCATGGTGATGGATCAAGCTGTGGGATGAGAACTTCTCCACACTAGCACGGCCAAAGCAATGACCGAGGGGGACACAGGACTTTCTCCACGGAGATGCTGCCTGCTTTCCCAAAGTCTCCCCCAAGGCAAGGGACACAACAAGATGCCATCCCACAACAGCGGTTACCCACAGAACTCCATCCATGCTGCACTGGACCCTGCCTTCACATCTTGCCCCCTCATCCTTCATCCACCACCTCCCAGCCCTGCTTTGTCCTCCCCATCCACCTCCCTGCAGGTAATTACAAAAGACATCAATTAGATCCCTCGCTCCCCACTACCACACACCCCGTTGTTTGAGAACCTGGCAGTGAATAATGCAGAAGGCTGGAGGGGGGAAAAGCTGCTCACGTTGTTTCATTATTGATGAGAAATGACAGATCCATGGCTGACAACCTGCCTAAGAGATATGATTAGCTTGTAAAAAATTAATCGCGCTTCTTAGGGATGACGCGAGCTGAAAAACCCCAAGGAGCGGCGTTATCGATGTTCCCTAATTTCAGGGGACTTTGAAAAGGTTTTAGCAAAATTGGGAGGAGGCAATTACATTCAATTAGAGTCACAAGTGCCAAGACGTCACTGCTGCTCGAAGACACCGTGGCCACAGCCCCTCTCCCCTACGCTGCCGCTCATCCTCCTTTCCGCAAGGCATGGATAAATATACCTTGATACAGCAGACCTGCATTTTTTGCCTGGGGGATCTTCCTTCCCAGCATCATCCCTTGCAGCTCGAGCTCTGGTCCACCCCAGCCGTGCCATTTGTGAAGGCAACAGCACCCAGAGCTTGCCAAAAACACCCTTGCCTCCCCTTGTGCTCGATATTTTGCCCTCCCAAGATCCATAAAACCCAGCCATGATGAAGATAACAGTTCTCATAATGCCAGTTGGGGTTTTGGCAGCCCTACTCTGTATCACTCAAGGATATGGCACATCTGAGGCCCCAGCCCTTTGGGATATCAGGGTATGGGGGCACAAAACCAGGGATGCTCCAGCTCAACGGGGCTGGGAATGCTAGTGGAAGCTGGTGACTTTGCTCGGTGCCTCTCCCACCTCATTACCGGGCACAGTTACTGCCATGACCGAGTTCACAGGGCCACCAACCACCTGCATAATTCATACTTCCCAGCTCACAAACACAAGGATCTTTGCAGATCTATCTGCAGATTAAAAAATACAGCAGTGAGAGCTGAAGAAACCCAGGGTCATGGCCAAGCGGAGGTGGCCCAAACCTTTTGCCAATTAGCCTAGCACCGAAACACGTGCACAGCCTCAGTGCACGTCCCCATTGCCCCAACTCCGGCCTCAGCTTCGGGACACTTCGCATTTGCAGGCAGGAGAGATGTGTCTTCCCTGAGGTTTTGGCTGGACCAAGCCCTCAAATGATGGATTTTAGGTCCCCATGTCAAATAAGATGGAGGGGAGCAGCTTGAGTGGGTCATCTTGGCTCAAGATGCTGCTGAGCATGATGCAACAGTCCAGTTCTTAATCTATATACATATAAAACTATTGCACTGGTTAACACATGGTCCTTCACCTATCAAGCATCCCCGGCAAGTCTTGTGGCACATCACAACCCCTATTGACAGCACCACAGTCCCTAAGATATCAGGTGAAATTCAGCATATTGGCGCTTGCAGATGCTAGTGATGGTGGGCAATGCACCCCAAGGAGGTTCAGATGCTCCTCCCCATCACAAAAGGCAGTGCCAAAGCTCGTGCAATATCCAGTGAAGATCAACTGCTGAATGGGATGCCATCTGGGAGGCTGCAGGTGCTGGGTGTAAGCTCAGGAGCACCTACTCTCTATCAAAGACCCATGGCAAGACCTCCCACCACACAGACCCATCACCTGTACAGTCAGGACCCATCATATCCACTCTTCCTGACAGAAGTTGTTTTAGCATCACCTGGGTTCATTTCTCCTCCAAATCCCACCAGATCAAGACCAAGCTAGTGGGGAGCGAGTCCCTGCATACAAACAGGAGCAGCTGCCCACCCCCACCCACATTTTTGGTTGCTTCTTCACTGCCTGGTAGGGCCTCGTTTCTTTATGCATCTCTCAGCTTGCGAGATGTTCCCCTGGGGAAAAAGGAAATTAATTTTATCCCTTTGAATTCAGCTTGCTTAGCAGGGACTGCAGAAGAATGCTATTTCCCAAGCCCCTGTCTCCACCATGGTCCAGGCATGGGTACCCAGCTGCTTTGGGGACACCAGGGATGACAATTCCCCAAAATCTTTGAAATTCAGCTCAGAACCAGACACACTGCCGACATCTTTCTAAGGGGAGGAGGAGGCAGCAAGCATGGTGCTGTCTGCCATCCTCTGTGCCTTAGTTTCCCCACAGTGACTCCAATCCCCGTGGACATCCCATGTGAAGGAGTACATAGCTTCGATACAATGATTTGCACCTCTCCTGTCCCTTCCCATCTCAAATTTCTTCCCTGTCCCCATGTTTTTGTTCACTTTCCTCGGTTCATCTCCCTCCCCCTGCACTTGGATGCAGCTCCCTGAACACAGCGGCCACGAGCACCTGCCTATATTTGCTCTTCAGTGCCGGATTTCTCCTCATTCCCAAAACCCCCAGCTCCTCCACCACCAGCTCTTAATTCCCCTGCCACTTCCAGGCTGGCCTCAAAGAGACCCCAGAAGCTTTCGGGCTATTTCCCGTCACCCTTTGTTAGTCAGCGTGCCGCCAACGAAGGTTACCGAATTAGTCACCCGCCTATGCCACAAAGCAGCTGCTCAGTGTCAGACCAAAGGTCTGCCTGGCCGCGGGCTGCTTCTCCCTCCCTTCCCCACGCCTGCACCCAGGGATGAAGGACCTTTCCCAGACAAAACAACTCACTTTCTCCTTCCAATGCATGATCTTTTTTTTAAATAGCAAAAGAAGCAAGGAGGCAGCACCATTGGGCTGCTTGGAGGAGGTAATTTTTCTCCTTTTGTGGTTCCCTTTGCTTTTCTCAAGCCTCTCTGTTTACCTGGCTCATAAAGCTGGCTCTGTGCTGCCAGCTCTGGGCTGCACCTTTTCTCCGGAGCCCAGCCCATCCCAAACACACAAAACTCAGACGGAAACCTTCTGCCAGCTTCACCCGCTCAAAGTCACCTTGCCCCAAAACTTTCAGCTCCACGCTCTGGCTTCGCTCGGCAATCATTAATCGGCTTCTCTGCATTCCCGGCATGGAAAAATGCCCCAGCAGGTAACCTTGTCCTGGCAGTCCGACATGCAGCTGGCCGGCAAGCTGGTCCTCTCCGCCACCGCTCTCTTCCTCCTGACTTTGGCATACAGGTTTTATAAATCCCGCTCGCTTGCCGGGGGGAAAATCCCACCAGCTGAGGCTGAGGAAGAGCAGAGGGAAAATGCTGCCAGGGATGGGGATGGTGCAAGGGGGCTGCGCCGCAGGAGGGTGGGTGGTGAGGAGGCAGGGAGGGACGGTGGGGATGAAGGAGCGAGCGGGCAAGTGAGCGCCTCTGAGACACGGTGCACGCTGCTCCGGGGGAATCGAGGTCTGCCAAGGGGTGAGGAAGGAGAGGAAATGGTTTCTGAACTGGAGCTGTCTTGTGGGAGGGTGGGAGTTGTTGGGAAGGGAAGTGAGTTGGGAAGCAAGATGGGGCGTGAGTTGGGAAGTGAGCAAGAAAGTGATCAAGCAAGCAAATCAGAATATAAGCTGGGAAGTGAGCTGGGAAGCAAGCCGGGAAGCAAGCTGGAAAGCAAGATGGGAGGTGAGCCAGGAAGCAATATGGGAAGTGAGCTGGGAAGCCTGATGGGAAACAAGGTGGGAAACAAGATGGGAAGCAAGCTGGGAAGTGAGCCAGGAAGCAAGTCAGGAAACAAAACAGGAATTGAGCTGGGAAGTGAGCTGGGAAGCAAGACAGGAAGTGAGTTGGGAAGTGAGCCGGTAAGCAAGTCAGAAAAAAAGCCAGGAATTGATCTGGGAAGCAAGATGGGAAGTGAGCTGGGAAGCAAGATGAGAGGCAAGCCAGGAATTGAGCTGGGAAGCGAGACAGGAAGTGAGCTGGGGAGTGAGTCAGGAAACAAGCCAGGAATTGAGCTGAGGAGCAAGCCAAGCTCTTATGACCCTGGGGATGCAGCCGAAAAACTGAGCAGCCACAGGGAGGAGGGCACGCTTGTCCCAAGCACCGGGCTTTCCCCCGGGATTGGTAATGCCCAGACAGCAGATGATGGACATACCCAAAGCATGGAGAAGGAGTTGACCATCACAAACATGAGTCAGGAGGCTGAGAGGCATGCGGGGATGATCCAGACCCTCAGCGTCACCTCGGACCTGGGGCTAACGATGACAGCAAGCGACATGGGGTCAGACGACTCCTACTCTTTCTCCTCAGTTGCAAAGATCCAGGTGGAAGAGAGCTATATCACCAGGAGGCAGGCGAAGGATGGAGCTCAGCAACCGATCCCTGGCCTTAAAGGCAAAGTCTATGACTACTACGTACAGTCCATTTCCCAGTCAGTGTCAAAGAAGAGGTCTCTTTCTTACATCCCTCCGGAAACATCCCAGCATCTCAGCTTGGAGTGGGTCAATGAGGAGCCACAGTGCTTTGAAACCCAGGAGCTGGACCCAACTTCGGCAACATGGGATTCCACCACCTCCTCCATAGAACCACCACCTTCTGGGAACTTAGAGATCTCCTCTGAGCCACCATCTCCTGGCCGCAAGGACAGCATACTCCAGATCGCCGACAGCCCCCACCTCCAGCTGTCCATGGAGGGTTTTGGAGTCATGGCACTGGCCAGGACACCGCCAGCAAGCCCTCAGCCAGGGCCAGTGACCAGTGCCAATCTCTTCCAAATGCCACCACCCACCCACCTGGACCTGGGCAACTGCTACAAGGTCCTCTGCACAGCCAAGGCACAGAAGCTTGGCCACCTCCAGGAGGCTGCCTACAAGGTGATGAGTGACAACTACCTGCAGGTGCTGAGGACACCCTCCATCTACAGTCACCTCAATGCCAGTGAGCGGGAGCTTATCCTGCGGCAGAGGATGAAGGGGAAGACATACATGGCTGTGGCAGACATCAACATGCAGGAGCCTGGCCTCCACACCAGCCACCTCTGCTACTATGATGACAAAGGGGACTGCTGGCGTCACCTCTGCCATGTGCCACCAGAAGTGGTCTCCCGGGGCTGTGCCATGTGCAGCATGTTCAACTACCTCTTTGTGGTGGCTGGTTGTGAGGGCATGGGCCAGGACCAGAGACCCTCCAATCGTGTCTTCTGCTATGACCCCTTGACCAACATCTGGAAGGAGATCTGCTCCCTGAACCAAGCACGGCCACACTGCAAGCTCGTGGCCTTGGACGGTCACCTCTATGCCATCGGCGGTGAGTGCCTCAACACAGTGGAGCGCTATGATCCCCGGCAGGACCGCTGGACCTTCACCGCACCCCTGCCCCATGAAACCTTTGCTGTAGCCCACACAGCCACGGTGTGCGATGGGGAGATCTACGTGACAGGAGGCACCTTGCGATACATGCTGCTGCGTTACACAGCCCGCTCGGACAGCTGGAGCATCAGCCCAGCCGGTGGTGGCAAGGACAGGACAGCTGAGATGGTGAGCACTAATGGCTTCATCTACCGCTTTGATCTCCACCGCAGCACAGGCATCAGTGTCTACCGCTGCAGCGCCAAGGCCAAGCTATGGTATAAGTGTGCTGTCTACGCCATGCCCGACCCGCCTGGCTTCCAGTGCACTGTGGTGGGCAGCCTGGTCCACTGTGTTGGGCGGCACTTCCACATCCGCTTCTTGGCTGACCACATCTCACCACGCTTCGGGACCAAGGAGCTGCAGCCTTTCCCATCACCTCGCAGCAGCCTCCTCCCAGCCGTCCTGGTGCTGCCAGAGGGAGAGACAGCACAAACGAAGGTTTGAGGGATCTGTACTGGGGTCTCATGCAACAGTGGTGACAGCTCAGATGTGACATGATGATGAAAGTTGGTAGAAGAAGCCACCAGCCCACATTAGACCATGTAGCATGGGACCAACATGGCCAACGTTACCCATGCAAGCAGGCATCACACTAGTTCCCATAAGTAAGGAAGTGACAAACTGCCTTTGGATACTGCCAGTAAACCCAGCCTTGAAGATACAAGGCAGAGCAAAGCAGGAGCTGGGTGGACTTGTTTGCTTAGAGGTATTTAAACATAGGAGTGCTTGACTGGATGCAAACAAACCACGGCTCACTGCAAGCTCCCCGCTGTGCACTGCCCAATAAATAACTGCTTTACACACCAGATGTTTCATATTGACCTGGACACACAACACACGTTGGGTTTTAGGGTGGAGGAAGACAGCAGGGAGGTTTGCTCCCTAAGGAGGTATCACCCAAAGGTCAGCCCCATCGGCATCAAGCCAACATCGAGCCTTCAGGTTTGACTGAACACATTACCCCAGGGTTGGAGGCTGGGGACCAGTACCTTGTTATCTGTCACCTTATCCTCAGCACAGAATAATAAATATATATATATTTCTATGCACAAGATGTAAATAGGCACTATAGATTTATAGACAGCTGGTCTTAAATGAAATTAAAGTGAACATTTGGTAAAATTAACCACGGGCTACTGTTGCGCATCATTTCAAGCCATAGCCAAGCCTAATGGGAACAAAGAGGCCGATGCATGTTTTACATCGTTAATTACTGCACAAACAACATCTCTGAGGAGAGAACCAAAAGCAAACTAGGGCCCTGGATGTGAGCAGCCGCTTTATCATCCCCTTTTCCCCAGGTTTCACCGACCTCACTCTGCCACCTCTGTGTCCTGCCAAAAGCCTACTTTGGGTAATTGCATTTTCTTCCCCTCTAGCCATTAGCGGAACAGCTCGTCATCTGTCATCTGTCAGCTCCAGACAGACAAAAACAGCCTCCAGATGGACGAAACCCTCCTGTACCTGTCTCCTTGGTGGCAGAAGGTCATGAGCATGAAGTCATGGATGTGCCTGAAGTGCTTAGAGATAAGAGGTGGTGCTGGAGCAGCCCATGGTATCACCATTTATCCCTTGCTGCTCATGGCTTAGGAGAGCTTAGGTTAATGTTCTCTCAAAGTGCTCTCAAAATTATTTATTACTTCTCTCTGTTGCTGCTTGGAGGCCTCGTGTTTCTGCCTTCAAGGGCTTTCTAAAGGTCAGTAGCATCCACCCTCGTTAGGAGACCTTGGGGGGCTGTGTTAATTAACCTCAGAGGTTTCCTTGTTAGCCATAGCACATTGGTTCTGCTGATGGAGAGTGGGCAATGCACCCTCTCCTTGCACTAAAAGCTGCCACGGTCCAGCCTTTTCCACTCATCCTGGGGCCACCCCTTCATATCCCAAGAGAACCAACCCCACCCATGATGTGCCAGGGTTGCAGCCTCCTGCATCCCAGCATCTCTGTGGTGGAATGCTTGGGCTGGTAAACCTTACAAGTCAAAAAAAACCCAAACCCTTATTATTATTATAATTATTATTTAACTCCTTGTTATTTAGCTATCTCCATAGCCGGCACTCAGAGCAGCAAGCTCAACAAGGTGGGCTCACACATGCTGCAACACATTTCTACTTCTCCCCTGGAAAAACCCAGGTACTGGTTGCTTCGCTGGAGCAGACCAGCCACTTTGCAACCTGCAGAAACCTCTTGTCCCCATCACCATCCCAGCTTCATGCTGTTCAGCATCCCTGCCACTGCAGGCTGAGCACTGGGGAGCAGAGAACGCCTTGACTGGGTGGAAACTGGGCAGCTGGAGCCCTTCCAGGTGACAGCTTTGGTTTTTTTCATCCCTAGAAAAGCCTTCCTGGGATCCTGCCCCTCTCACAGTGCCTCTTTGCTTCCGTTTAATATTTCACTTCTCTGTTAACTCCTTGCTGCCAGGCTGCACCCTCAAAGCCCAGCAGCTTTTCCCTGCTCCCGAGCGTGATGGTGAGCAATGACCAACAAAGACCAAGGGTAGGCAGCTCTCCCCCCGCTCCTGCACTCTCCAGTATTAACACAATTCACTTGGGGAGGCATTTTGGAGATTAAAAGCACTGGGGACATCCCATGCCTGAGCACTGCTTGTTCTAAAGGGAAGGACAACCAGAACTGGAGCAAAAAGCACACGGTTGTTGACAGTGAAATGACTTTTGGCTACGGTTAAGGGAAAGCAAAGCAAAAAGGACGAAGGACTGCATGTTTGTAGCTCTCAGGATAACCAAGAGACCATCGAGTAGTCTCAGTGCAGCTTGCAGCATCAGGATATTATTTATTTTTGCTGATTAGGTGGGCAAACTTGCCATGATTTACAGGGAAAAAGGGTCAGTAAGCAGAGAGTGCATCCTAATAAAACCCTGCAGTGTGCACCATGGAGCTACTAACCACCCCAAGTGAGTTCAAGTAATAAATAAATATCGAGAGGCCACAATAAAGCCATTCAGGCTGGGGGTTTACATGGAAGGTCCTGCTCTTGGGAGCTTCTTCCCTTGCTGCAAGACCAGTTGCTGCAAACTGGGACCCTCGCTGGGTCAGGGACCGCTAGGACTTGGTGCTGGAAGAGAAAACACAACCAGCACCGGGTTTGTGAGAGCTGGGAAAACTAATTTCCACGCTCCACTAGCAATTCCTCCATTCTCATGATTCCCTCAGGTGTCACCAAGGATGAAGAGCTCCATCACCAGTGTCTGCACCCATCATCACTCTCCAAGCCCCCCTGCCTTATTTATCTCCCAAAAGGAGAGTGCAGCCACTCAACCGCACTGCTTTGCAACCAGATATAACCTTTGCACTAAATTCAGTATTTTCTTCTAATCAGGAAGACCCATTATCTACCCCCGACCACGTTTATTTCGGCAATTACATAGCTTAATGTACATTGATTCAGATTCTTAATTTTTACATTTTTGATTATGGTAAAAAACTGGGGAGTGACGCATTTCGTATTTGCTCGGCGCTCTTTTTTCCTTCGCAATGTGCAAGGCTGCATGCGAATGGAAATGGGAAGTCAATTAAAGAAGTGCAAAACCAGCATTTTAAAATCTTTTTTATTAGTTAAACACGGCTAACTTCAATGTGTCTGCTACAGCAGGGTGGGAGAAAAAAAAAACAACCAAAAAGCAAAAAAGTGAGCTTATCCAGACATGTTTTGCATTTAAAACTGACTCAATACATGAAAGAAATATTAAGCGTAGCGAACTGACAAATTAAGTATCTCGTTCCTGACAAGCAGGAGCAAATTCATGTCAGTGGTTGCCAGGTGGGAATTTAAAGCCAGGAGAAGGGAAAAACCCATTGCACCATCCCTAGGTGCTGGTAAGGGAGGTGGCACCAGGCCATGGCTTCTCCTTGACCCTCTGGAGAGTTGTCTAGAATAACATCTACACTGGTATGGGCTGCATTGCCATCAGGAGAGCCTTCATGAGATGTTTAAAGCCAAGGAAAGATGTCCTGTCCTCTCCCACTCATTTCATCATCCCTCCTGCATCCAACCCAAGTTGACCACCCACAGATGGCCACCAGCAACCCCTGGAGGCACCAACCTCAGCCTTTCTCCACTCTGGTTTACAACCAGAAACAATCCAGCTGTGTAGACAGGGACCTGCACCCAAGCTGCAGAACCTTGTTTACAAGCAGACGCTAATGAACCAGGGCTCCACGCAACCCCTTTGCTTGCAAGACCCAGACCTGCTCGCCTGGTGCCAATGGGACCTTTCTTGGCAGCATCCACGAGGCTCCACGCTCCGAGAACGTCAGCCGGCTCCTCGCAAGCACAGAGAGGTCAGCGCTAATGAAAGATGCTATCGCAGAGCCGGCGGCTGGCCAGACAAACGTAATTAGTGGTATTTGCAGAAGACAAACCTTGACGAGGACGAGGGGGATGGGAGCACATCCCCTTGCGATCATTTTGGGGAAGAAACACGGCCATTTGGAGGCCTTCCAAGCGAGAACAACAGCCTCGCCAATGAGTATTTAATTAAAACCCGCACGGCATTCGAGGGGAGAAGGGCTGTGAGTGAATAAGCGTGGTGATAAAATATGCATCAACGCCGGCATAAGTTCTCCCTCCCTGGCACAAGCCTTTGCTTAAACCGTTGATGTTTTTTGATTCACAAGCTCCAGCAAGGAGGGAACATTTGCCAGGCACTATTTCAATCCCGTCGGGAGTTTTTTCCGGGGCTTATAGCCACGCTATAGTTTAGGATGTGTCAGCGCTGGCATCATAAACACAGATCAGAAATGTTATAAAAAGAGGGAAAAAAACCCCTCTAAAAACCACACTCCTGGCTGGAGTATAGCATCCTGTGAGCTTGGGCCAAAGGCAAATTATTTCTCCGTTACTGAAATAAAATCAATAAAGCTCATTTTTATTTACAGAAGAGCCAGAGATGGGGAGAAAAAAAAAAATCATTGAGTTGCAGAAGGGGCATAGAGGTGTTTACAGTTTTCAGCTGGTTTTCAACCAAAACCACAAGGCACTGGGGCGCAATTTTAAGCCCCAGGTCCCTTAGAGGTGCCATACCTGGAGTGAAACCCCTAACACCAAGTTAACCTGGGAAGATGCTATCTTTCAAGAAGCTACCATCTAGCTAAGAAAAACCAGATTTTTTTAATTGTATCTGCTATTTTGGCTGATCTCTCTCCTACAACACGCCACGGGCATGGAGAGAGGGTGAATGTGTAATCTGGGGACAACAGACTCTGTGCTGGGTCACTGCCTCAAAAATAACTCGATTCCCATCCGGGCAAATAACCTTTGAGTTCATCACCATTTTCCATACAGGAAGATCTCGGGCAATGCTCAAGTTGCTTCAAATCAACATAATGTGTTCAGTTTGCACGTCCTGAACACCAGGCTCTGTTTGTGGCAGAAATTGCCTTTTTGCCCCAAAATGAGCAGCCTGGCAAGGCAATGCAGGGGTCAAGCA